GCTTTCCTGATTCGGTCGAGGATGGTAGCTGTGATTGCTATTTGGCTTCCTGTTTATCTTTGATGCTCGACCTTTCCGAGTCTGATAGTGTTGATATCAGTGTTACCTCATCGTCCGCAAACATTTTCTTTGCGGCATGCTGCTCCCCGTATACTGCTTTTACACCATCCTTCGCTGGGAATTTCATCATTTGGTGGAAAGTTAAGGGGACTGCCCTCATGTTGTGGATCCAAGGCTTCCCAAGTAAGGCGTTATACCTCATGTCTCCCTCGATCACATGGAATTTGGTATCTTGAATGGTTCCAGCCACATTCACTGGCAAAAAACTTCCCTTTAGTTGTTTCATTAGCCATGTTGAAGCCATTTAAGACCCGAGCTGCGGGCACAATTTTATCTTGTAGGCCGAGTTGCTCCACGACCCTCGATCGAATGATATTCGCCGAGCTGCCTGGATCCACTAAAACACGCTTAACTTGAACTTTATTTAATAAGATAGAAAATATCAGAGCGTCGTTGTGTGGTTGAGAAATGTCTTCTGCTTCTTCATCGTTAAATGATAAAGAGCCTTCGGGCATATAATCTTGGGTTCATTTCTCCCTGTTGATTGATACCTTAGTTCGTTTAGATATGGGTCTTTGTGGGATGTCGACACCACCGATGATCATATGAAAGACATGATGTGGTTCCTCATGTTCATTTTTCCAGTTTGCATCCCTTCCTCTTAAAATGATTCTTGTCTTGATCACGGAGGAACTCTCGAAGGTGGACCTTATTGAATAGACCGGTTACCTCCTTTCTCAATTGCCTGGAATCCTTAGGTGTTGTGACCATGCGTACCATGATACTTGCACATCAAATTTGGGTTTCTTTGGGAAGGATCGGTCTATATGGGTCTGGGACACCTAGTATCTTTGATCCTTCTGATTGCCAATACAATGCCCGATGCGTCAATGCTAAAGTTATATTCCGATAACTAAGGTGCCTCTATGGGATCGACATGCTTATCAAAACCACTTTTGCTCATAAATCCCCAATAATTCTGTCCTCGATCACTTCTTCGATTGTTTCGGGCAAAATTGCATCCCGAACCGTTATTCCTTCGATCTGCGGTATATGGTTGATATAGTTCTCTTTTCGACCTTGGCTCCTGGTCGCCGTCCTTAGGGGTTTTATCTGCCGACCTGTTGGGATGTACTGAACTGAAAGGGGCTCCTAAATGTTCATCCTCTACCTTGATCTTCGATTGATATCGATTGTGCACATCTGTCCAAGTTACAGCTGGATACTCGATCAAATTTTGCCTCAACTGTCGTGATTCTATGGAACTTCGCTCGTTCAACCCTTGGGTGAAAGCTTGAACGGCCCAATCATCTGTGATCGGTGGCAACTCCATGTGTCCCATTTGAAATTGGGATACGAACTCCCTCATCATTTCGTTATCCCTTCGTCTTATCTTAAAAACGTCCAATTTTCTTGTTGCGACCTTTATGGCCCCGGCGTGTGCATTCACGAAAGAATCTGCTAACATGGAAAATGAGTTGATGGAATTTGGCGGCAGGTTGTGATACCAAATCATTGCTCCCTTTGATAAACTTTCCCCGAATTTTTTTCAACAAAATGGACTCGATCTCATCATCATCTAAGTCATTTCCCTTTATTCCACATGTCTATAAAGTGACGTGTTCATTAGGATCGGTGGTCCCATTGTATTTAGGTATATCCAGCATACAGAACTTCTTAGGAACGGGTTTTGGAGACGCACTCTGAGGAAAAGGCTTGTGCATGAACTTTTTTGAATCCAAACCCTTTAGGATCGAAGCTGCCCCCGGTATCTGATCAACTCGGGAGTTGTATGTTTCCACCTTTTTTTTATCATTATCTTCTATTTTCTTCTCCCCCGACACAATTCTTTTGGTGAGCTCCTCGAGCATTTTTACTATTGCGGGATCAGTCCCTAATTCGCTACCATTTGATCTTTCCGGCACTGGCTTACGGCGAGTGATTTCTGGCTCGACCACACTTGGAGTCCTATGTTAATTTTGCAATTGAGCAATAGCGGCCTGCTGAGCTTGTAGCATCTCGAATATTATCCGGAAGCTAACTCATCCGTCTTCCTTGCCCTTTGTACCTTGGCCACCAGATCGGCCTTCCCTGCGTATACTCCCTTCGGGGTCCGTGCCTAGGTCCGCATTTAGAGAAACGTGGGAACTGATATCGACTGGATCGGCGACCATTTCTCCCCCGAGATTAGCCGGTGGCACCCCGGCTCCTGGAGCAATTACATTGTCGTTTTCCGTGAAATTCGAGACCATCATCACCTTGTACGGGTGCGTTTTGTGAATTTGGCATGCTTTAACCTGAAAGCAAAAATACTTGACAAGAATAAGTGTGAAAATAACGTGTGTTATCAGAAATAACACTGAAACAATCAGTATTATCCTTAGCCTCACGGTGGGCGCCAAACTGTTTACCCTAAAATTCGAGTAACAATTAAACTTGTATTGTGATTTTAAGGATATGTGATTTAATCCAATACCAATTAATAAACAAGGAATTAAACAAATAAATTAGAGAACAAAGTAAATCAAACCAGTATGCAAGCCAAATCTCGACCTCGACCTATGATAGTCTCGAGGTGTGATAATAGGAATAGCTAATTATAAAGCAACTCTGATGAACAGTAAGTGAAATAGCAAGAAAGTAATGTGCATATATTTTTTTTCTCAATGAACAATGTGTTTTACAAATGAATGGGATCCCCCTTAATATAATAAGGGAGTCCTAAATAAGGTACACTTCTAAGTATAGTAGGAAATCATATTTGACAACTGTTTAATCGTTGAAGACCAATCCATTCCGAAATTCACGCCGTGATCTCCGGCCAATTGCGGATATCTCGCTCTACTTAATCATACCAGCATCATCTCGAAGCATGCCTTCTTCTGACCTCGGTAATTGATATCGACCTCAACCTTGAAAAGGAACTTCGACCCGAGTTCGACGTCCTAGTCTTCCGATGTGGTATCACTTTTTACATCGAAAACGAAATCGGGCAGCCCCGATTTTCGCCGTATACAATAATAGTGGGGCCCTATCAATTTGTGCCATTTTAGGACGTTGACAGTTTCACCGGCTACCATCTTGTATCAGTAGATCCAATAAATCTATCTATCAAGACTTAAATAGATTGAAAGAAGTTATCCAACGTTCTTTGTCTCAACTGAGATTTAAACTCTAACTTTTTACTTTATTAGGTTTCCACTTATTTCATCAACCACTAAGTCACACCCTTATATATTGCTAGCTAAGTTTTGGTTGAAATGTGTGTAGCAGTTCTGTGATTTTTGAATAAACTTGCAGCCTTGAGATGAGTGCGCCACAAGTTGGTAATGCACGCATTCCTAGAATAAATGATTGACTTATAAAGTCAGACCTCTTTATAACATCATCTCTATGTAATAAACATTCACTATAAATGTTAAGTTGTTCTCAAAATTAATTTTTATATTTTGATATAATATATGTCTTCTATAACAGTACTTCACTATAACAACCAAAAAATATCGAAACAGACGAGGATGTCATAAAGAGGTTTGACTGTACTGGTAATTAGTAAATCTACAAGTCATTAATTCAATAATTTCATGAACAAAGTCTTGTAGTATCTAATTGCAATAGAAGCATTAGAAATGAACTCTACTGGCACAGTTTCCTCTCGGGGTTGACTCTTTGCTTAATTATGTTTTTTAATTAATAACCTAAACAGCACTAACACAAACAACTTAATTTTTTTTTTTTTATAAATCCAAGATGAAAGATTTGCCTAGCCTTTATGGAAAATTCTTAAATGTCTTTGCTTGTGAAATAGTTTTCTTTTTTATGTCAAATAATATCCTCAAATATTTATATGTTCAAAAGAAAAGAAAATGGAATAATAGAAAGTAGATAGGTTGAAAATTTGCATCAGCAGCTGTTTGGAGTAACTCTCTTGCACGTGTGAGTTGTAGAATTCATAGTTAGATTTTTAGAAAAGGAATGGACTAGAAATGGATAAACCCTACCTTGAAAAGTTGATTTTGAATTATTAGTTGTCCAAGAAGCAGAAAAGGAAACACATGCATACAGGGAATAGAAATTGTTACTTATATTTAGGGGTGTACATAGGTCGGGACGTCGGGTTGGTTCGGACTTTGTAATTACCAAACCAAACCATTGAACCAATTGTGTCGAGTTATTAAATCTAAAGACCAAACCAAACCAATAAAACTCGAGTTTTTCAATCTTGGTTTTTCTCGAGTTTTCGGATTATTCGGGTTTTTTCCCGGTAAAATCTCCGTAGAACACAATATATTACTTGTGCTCAATATATTTCTTTAATCCTAGTAAGATACAACTATATAAGGTATTTCGCAAAAAAATAATACTAAATATGAGATGTGTCATGGCATTATCCTAAAATATTCAACAATAAAGACAATAGAATTATGTAATATAAATAATGCTAATTAAAATATTCATATTAAAAATGAACATAGTCTAAAAGTACTAAGTTATGCTAAAATAAATAGACTAATAAGGGAGTACTAATTACATAACTAAACGCTAAATAAAAAATAAAAATAGGTTATTATTGAAATGAAAGGGCTTAAGGATGCATACAAGAAACTAGAAGGGAGTGAAGTGCAAATGAAAGAAAGTAGTGTAGTAAAAATATTGTTAAATAGAAGAAAAGAGAGATACGGAAGTAGTTGTAAAAAAATGATTAAAACTGTAAAAATCTAGAGCTTCTTCTTCTTCCTCTGATCTTATCTCTCGCTAGCTACTGTTCCACTGCCATGGCCAGTTGCATGTCTGAATTGCTGCTATCTTTCGTATAATCTAGCTCGATTAACATAGTATCAGAGCCTCGATCTCAAATCTAGGGCTCAGATTCGAATTTCGACGGAAGGCAGTGAAATTTTCTGAAATTAGGGATCCATAGTTCTTCGATCGGAACAAAAATGGCCGAAAATGAAGTGACTTTACTTGAGCACAACCATCCGATGTTTCTCCAACCCCCCGACGCTCCAGGTCTAGTTTTAGTCCCAATTAAGCTCACAGGGCCCGAGTATTATGCCCTATGGAGCAGGGCGATGAAGCTAGCATTGAGAGGAAAAGGAAAGCTTGGATTTGTGGATGGAACATGTGTCAAAAGCACATACAGAGGAGAACTTACAGAGCAGTGGGAAAAGTGTAACGCAATTGTATTATCGTGGATCGGAAGCACTATTGCAGGTGAGTTAATGCCTAGCATTGTATTTGCTTCAAATGCAAAGAAAGTATAGAGTGATTTCAAAGAAAAATTCGATAGATGTAGCTTAACAAGGATATATCACCTATGGACGGAAATTGCTAGTTTGAAACAGGGTACAGACTCTGTTACTAGCTACTATACGAAAATGAGTGATTTGTGGAGTGAGTTAGATGTGTTGGTCCCAACCTCTACTTGTGATTGTGAGGAGTCTAGACCATCCTTAGAACATTTAGCTCAACAGAGGTTATTACAATTCCTAACGGGGCTGAATGAGACTTACAGTAATGTAAGGAGCAATCTATTGCTAAGAAGGCACGTCGTTACTGTGAATGAGGCCTATGCTATTGTAACACAAGAAGAAAGCCAAAGGTCATTAGGATTTGTCGACACAAACAGGGATCCTTTAACAATGATGGCAGGAAGAGACCAAATTTTAAAACCAAATAAGTTTGGGCTGATTTGTGATCATTGTGGTTTCAAGGGCCACTTAAAAGAAAACTGTTATGAGATCATTGGTTATCTAGCAGATTTTAAGAGCAAAAAGAAATTTCAAGGTGAAGGAGCTAGACCTTATGTGAATGCTGCAAGTACTGAAGCAGGAGAAGGCTCAGGGAATCCGTTTCAGGGTCATGTGTTGACAGAGGAGCAATACAAGCAATTGGTAGGTCTTCTGAACAAGCCAACAACAGGAGATTGTTCTTCAAACATGGCAGGTATAGCCTCTCTATTATGTAGTGCATCAGTAGAAGAATGGATAGTGGATTCAGGAGCCACACATCATATTACACATAATAAGGAAATCTTAAGCAACGTTAGAGAAATGACAGAACATAGTGGAGTTCAGCTGCCAACAGGGAATAAAGCAGACATAAAACATACAGGAAGTACAGTGGTCCTAGGAAATAAAAGTGTGGACAATGTTCTACATGTGCCTGACTTTAAGTTGAATTTATTGTCAGTATCAAAACTCACCAAACAACTCAGATGTTCAGTCAACTTTTATCCTGATTTCTGTCTGTTTCAGGAACTTTACAGTGGCAAGGTGCCGGGGATTGGTAGAGAATCAGGTGACCTATATTTGTTGAAAGGAAGAGCAATAATATTGGCAAGTACAACTCTAAGAGATAAGACTGACAATACTCTATGGCATCACAGATTAGGACATGCTTCCTTGAAGACTATACAACATCTGCCAACTTTACAAAATAAGATCAGTAGTAGTGATATTGAAGATTGTGACATTTGTCCTCTAGCTAAGCAGTGTAGACAATAATTTCCTGTTAGCAATTCAAGATCAAGTAATATTTTCCAGCTTGTGCATTTAGATGTTTGGGGACCTTATAAGGTGCCCACTTATGAAAGAAAATAATATTTTGTTACTATAGTAGATGACTTTAGTAGATATACATGGGTATGTTTGATAAATACCAAATATGAAGTTGTAGTTGTGCTGAGGAACTTTATATCAATAATAAAGAACCGATTTGCTATCACTGTGAAGTGTTTGAGATCTGACAATGGGAGTGAATTTTTTAACTCCAAATGTAATGAACTGCTTGCTTCTCTGGGTATAGTGAATCAAAGTAGTTGTGCCTATACTCCACAACAAAATGGAGTTGTGGAGAGGAAACATTGGCACATTCTTGAAATGGCTAGAGCATTGAAGTTTCAAAGTGGGATTCTTATTAAATTCTGGGGAGATTGTGTGAGAACTGTAGTGTATTTGATAAATAGACTGCCAACATCTGTATTAGCAGGTAAGACTCCATATGAACTGCTTTACAAGAAACAAACCAACATAGAACATTTGAGGGTGTTTGGTTGCCTATGCTATACAAGTAGCTTGCCAATGGGAGATAAGTTTGCTCCTAGAGCAAGAAGGACTGTACTCATTGGTTATTTTGATACCCAAAAGGGTTATAGGGTTTGTGACTTAGAAAGTAAATCCTTCCTTATTAGTAGAGGTGTAGTTTTTAAGGAGCACATATTTCCTTTCAAGAATCTTCCCAGCAATACAGATGATATGTTTGTGCAAGATGTGACTGCTGTGCCTCCAGTTCTCCAAGACAGTGTTATGTAGAGTTCTTCTTCTACATAGCATATAGCCACATTGCAGGGTGAGCCACATTTAACTGAACCAGATACTTCTGGAACAGATATGGATGGCATTCATCTTCAAAATAACCACATGAATCCTGACAATGTCACACCTCAAGGGGAGTTGAGTGATACAACTCCTGGTGATCAAGCGATTGCTGAAGTAGCTCCTGCAAGTACAACACCAGCAGCTTATGAACATGATACTATTCTAACTGAAGGACCTCCATTGATACATGCCAGGCCACAAAGATCTCATGCTCCTCCTCTATGGATGAAAGATTATGTTTCCACCTCTGTGACAAGCAAGTACCCCATATCATCTCACATAGCATATCATCACCTTTCTCCAGATTACCAATCCTATCTAGGGGTATTTTCTGTATTGACTGAACTTAGAACCTTTAGAGAGGCAGCTCAAAATCAACAGTGGGTAGAAGCTATGAAGCAGGAGATCAAAGCTCTTGGGGATAACTCCACTTGGGAGATTGTGTCTTTGCCTCCTGGAAAGAAACCAATTAGATCAAAATGGGTTTACAAGATAAAATATAAAGCCAATGGTGAAGTGGACAAGTTTGAAGAACGACTGGTTGCAAAAGGCTATACTCAACAGGAAGGCTTGGATTACCATGAGAAATTTTTTCCGATAGCTAAAATAGTTACTGTACACACTGTTATTAGTGTTGCTGCATCTAAAGGTTGGCATCTTTTTCAAATGTATGTCAATAATGCCTTTCTTCAGGGAGACTTGGCTGAGGAGGTTTACATGGAACTTCCACAGGGATTTCAAAAGCAAGGGGAGTATCAAGTGTGCGGGCTATTAAAATCCCTCTATGGACTGAAGCAGGCATCAAGACAGTGGAACATCAAACTCACAAATGCCTTGTTAGATGCTGGATACATACAGAGTGCCCATGATCATTCTCTTTTTACCAAGAAGCATGGAACAGACATTGTGATCATCCTCATTTATGTGGATGACCTTCTGATAACAGGAAGTTCTCAGTTTTTGATAGATGAAGCTAAGAGTACCTTACACAAGTGCTTTAAAGTTAAAGACCTGGGAGAGCTTATATACTTTCTGGGAATTAAAGTCATGAGATCAAAGGAGGGTGTTCTTCTAAACCAGAGAAAATATGTACTGGAACTGATTTCTGATGCAGGACTGAGTGGTTGCAAACCTGTTGCAACACCAATGGAGCTGAATCACAAACTTACTACAGTGGATTATGACAATCATGTTGGCAGGACAGATGATACACAACTAGAGGAAGTGGGTACCTATCAAAGGCTAATTGGGAAGTTGCTCTATTTGACTATTACAAGACCTGATATATGCTTTGCAGTACAAGTTTTAAGCCAATTCATGCAAAAATCCAAAGGTCACATATGGATGCAGCACTGGGAATGGTCAAATACATTAAAGGAGCACCAGGCTTAGGGATATTACTGAAGAAAGGTGAGACTCAAACACTCACTGGTTTTTGTGACTCAGATTGGGCATCCTGTCCCAATACAAGAAGATCTGTGACAGGTTATGTTGTCAAGCTAGGTGATTCCTTATTGTCATGGAAATCCAAGAAACAACAGACCATTAGCAGAGGCTCAACAGAAGTAGAATACAAGAGCATGGCAGCTGCAGTAGCAGAAATCATTTGGATGGTTGGCTTATTGGAGGAACTTTGAAATAAAGTTCAGAAACCAGTGAATTTGCATTGTGACAACAAGGCAGCGATGCAAATAGCTGCAAATCCTATATTTCATGAAAGGACTAAGCACATAGAGATAGATTGTCATTTCGTGAGAGTAAAGCTCAAGAGTGGATTGATCACACCACAATATATTCCCACCAAAATGCAGCTAGCTGATCTGATGACCAAGAGGTTAGGTTCAGTGTAGCACAGTCACTTATGTCCAAGCTCGGAGTGTTCGATGTTTTTCACTGCCCAGCTTGAAGGAGAGTATTGAAGTGAAATGGCTTAAGGATGCATACAAGAAACTAGAAGGGAGTGAAGTGTAAATGATAGAAAGTAGTGTAGTAAAAATATTGTTAAATAGAAGAAAAGAGAGATACATAAGTAGTTGTAAAAAAATCAGATTAAAACTGTAAAAATCTAGAAATATTGTTAGCGTTATTTAAGTTACTAATATTAATGGCTATAAAACTTATTGGAACATTCAAATGTTCAAAGTCCAACCATGAAATAATACTTTAAAAGATAAAATTATGAAAAAGTTTAAGAAATATTATAAATTACATCACAATAAGTATATTTATATATTAAATAAATCTAAATTTTTTATATATGTAATGTTGGGTTGGTTTGGTTTCGGTTTGACTTTCCTTCGTTAAAACCAAACCAAGCCAATTATAGTCGGGTTTTTTTTCCACCACCAAACCAAATCATAATTGAATTTTTTTTCTCGATGTGACTCTTATTATCAGGTTGGTGCGGTTTGTTGGTTTCCTTTGTACACCCTACTTATATCTATATGCCTCTAAAAGGAATAAAAGAGGAAAGCAAAAGCTCAGTGAAAATGCCAAAAGCATTTATGCCAGTAAGAGCATATGGGAATTTTGGGTCCCCTTACTCTACTAATTTATATATAAGATGTGGCTCAGAGTTGCTCAAGACATCAAAATATCTACTCTGTTTTATTGACAAAAAATTGCCAAGTTACACTAGATTGTTCTGATTTTCTAAGTGCCCACCAGGCTAATGTCTACATCAACCAACACAAATTGATTTATTTTCTTGTTAACTGATTGTATTGATTTTGCAGTTATTTCTCCCTCTTGCCTAATTATCAGGTAATGGATTGTTGAAAATCCAGAATCAGGTAAGAGGTATTAGGCTGTTATTTTTTTTTCTTTTTTCTTTTTTCTTTTTTGGACATCTGAAGTTGAGAAGCAGGTTAAATATTCATAACTAAAATAATAGAGAGAAAAAAGAAAAGAAAGTTCAAGTGACTTATTTTTGGTGGCCACCTGGGGCTTTGTGCTTTGGGTCGAGTATTAGGGTTGTAGTTTAGTAGGTAGTTGACTCTTGCCTTATTTCGTACCTTTGCGAGACTAGTCTGGTAGGGTTTTGTCTAAGATAGCTAGTGGCAATGTTATGTCTTACTATTTCGCTTTCCAGTGCATGACCTATTTACTAGCTATCGCTTTTGCTTTGCATCTTTCTTCAGGATTTCATGGTGTTCCTATTTTTCTTACGATGTACGTGGTGATACTAATATTGTCTCCTTTTGTCTTTTTGTTTTCTTGAGCCAAAGGTTTTTTGGAAACAACCTCTCTACTTCTTCGGGGTAGGAGTAAAGTCTGCGTACACACTATCCTCCCCAGACCCCACTAGTGAAATTTTACTGTTGTTGTTATTGTAGTAAAAGAAAAGAAAATAAAATCTTGTATCATCTTTCCATTCCCTTTTGCAAGTTGTTTGGGATTGAAAAGGAAAGGTACTTGACTTTTTCTAGAATTTTCAAAGGCTCTAAGCTATCTGCATGAAAAGAGGGCATTAATGAAATATCCACTTTCACATGCATTGGCCACCACTAAGCTGCTCCACCTTTTTGTATAACAACAGTATTTGGTTTAATTTGCGCTCTCCTTAATTATTTTTTCGGATACCTATTAACTTTCATTAGCACAAGTCGGGTAATTCTGCCCTCATGTTTTAGATAGATGAAAACAAATCATTTAACATTTTTTGTCGATGTTGGAAACTGAATCATAATCTTCCATATTTTTCACTCACTTCATTGACCGTTAGGCCAGATTTCACATCCTTAGATGCTCCTATGCTATTCCAGTTGAGTCCCAACTTTTGCCTATCTTAAGTAGTTCATGCAACATATCTTTGCAGTTGGAGTTATTTTAAAAACATTTCTCATGAGTGTTTAAGTGGGTGTTTGGACATAAGAATTGTAAAATTCCAAAATACGGGGAAAAAAATTTTCAAGTGAAAATGATATTTGAAATTTAGAGTTGTGTTTGGACATGAATATAAAGTTTTGTGAGTGATTTGAGTGAAAATTTTGAAAAACAACATTTTGGAGTTTTTCAAATTTTCAAAAATTTCCAAAATGCATCTTCGAGTGAAAATTGAAAATTTTATGAACTAACGCTGATTTCGGAAAAAAGTGAAAAATTTCTTATGTCCAAACGGGCTCTAAGTGTGCGTTTGGACATAAGAATTTTTTCACTTTTTTCCGAAATCAGTGTTTGGCCATAAAATTTCCAATTTTCACTTGAAGATAAATTTAGGAATTTTTCGAAAATTTGAAAAACTCCAAAAAGTTATTGTTTAAAATTTTCACTCAGATCACTCACAAAACTTCAAAAACAACCCAAAATTATATTCATGTCTAAACACAATTCTAATTTTCAAATACCATTTTCACTTGAATTTTTTTTTCCACTTTTTTTTGGAATTTACAAATCTTATGTCCAAACGCCCACTAAGTACATTTTAGACAAGATCAATATTTAAAAGACCTTCCTGTTGATATTCAAGCCTTCATGATGTCTTCTCTGAAAGAAATCAAGAAGAGGCACACTCGTATAACTAACAAAAGTTAAACACATAATCTGAAAAGGCTTGTATTATTTAGATCACCAAGGAAATGGAAAGATGGAGCTGCTTTCCAAGCTACCTTTGGCAATTACACATTTAACATCTGGTTCATCCAAATCTCTCTCTTTCCTTTTTCTAAGCTGCATAAAGTTATATACATTGAAGAACACAAACCAAGTAAAACCAAGGCAGCTGCTCGCTCCTAGTGTTACAAAAGAAAGGATACTTGCTACCCTGCTTCTGTTGGAGGACTTGAAAAATATTAGCCTCTCTTAGTGATATGCGTATCGTGATTAAGCATCCATTAGGCAGGAAAACTGGCAGGTATCTTTCGGCAGGTATTTCACAGGGCTGCATAGCTTCTAACTCACTTTAGGCTCTCTCCTGGAAGCTGAGGGACCTAGATAAGGCTGCAGGGTTAGCCTGCAACATCGGAGATGTAGTGGCAGAATGATCTTTTTTATCACTTTTCGGTTGCAAGGCCTTAAAAAGACCTCCCCTGCTAACGGAGTCGTATTTAATTCCTAGAGTTGACCATATAGAACTCTTTGCAGCTTCATCAGGATCATCGATACGCAAAGTTTTTGGGACCAAAACAGACGTTTCTGAATTCTTTTGCTCCGATGGTTCTTTTTCGTCGGGACTGTTTGACTTAAGCAAGTCCCCTTCCCTTGAATGCTTCCCTAAAGGTGAATTAGGAGTAGATCCTGACCCTTTTGGGTTCTCGGTTGGTGAGGGTGGAGTCAACCAGGGAATACTCCATGGACCAAGCATATTGCAATTCCAGTAGGGTGGAGGACAGAATGGCAATGGATATCCGGGCGGGCAAATCGCTGGAAGAGGAACTGCAGCATTCCATTGGTAAGGCCAAGGAACGCTGGGTATGCATGGAACGGGAGGTGCGAAGCCATTTACATTTGGAACGACTACCTCATTGCGCCTATGAGTGCCTCCATCGACCATTGAAGTTGATGTAGTGACTGAAGATCCACTACAACAGTCATCCCCATTTTCTCCACCTTTGCGAATGGAGTTCTTGTTTTCAGGTCCGTGGAAACCGTTACGAGTCCCATTTGGTACCTTTTTCTCTGCAAGGTTTAGAACAGAAGCCATAGATTCACAGAGAGGTGAGTCAGGCCCAAAGGATAGTACAGTACCATTGGGTTTGAACGTTGGATGCTGAAATCCATTTGGAGGATCAATTCTTGCCGCTTGGAGGGCTTCAGGGATTGTGATGTGACGACAGTGCGGTGCAGAATTCTTGTTCTTGCGACGACCAGCTCCCACAGGCACATTCCTCATGGTACCGCCAGCAGTCCAATATCTCTGGCAGCTCTTGCAGAAATGTCGAGGCTGGTTGACATTGTAATTGTTATAGTAGCAGAATTTGGTATCCATACTATTACAACGGGGGCATGGGAGAATTTTGTCTGGCTTCTTAAGAGGTTTCTGCTGAGAGTTTGATGCATTGTTCGGATCATTTTCAGTCTTGGAGGTTTTTAATGCAGGTGAATCTTCATCAATATTAGGAGTTTTTGGATTGTTGTCTGATTCTGACGAAAGCTTAGGATCTTCTGATTCTTCCATCATCTGATTTTGATCTTTCTCCTCCGACTTGGTTTCGCTGAGCTCTCCTGATGAATGATTCTAAAATCCAAACATAACTATATGAGTAGAGTTGAGTTGCTGGTCAAATTGCTGTAAGAAAGCTTTTTTAAACTGTTAACTAGCCAATCCACATGATGGCAGGAACATAAATAGTGAACACTAACAAGTTAACAACTTTTTCTTAAAATGGTAAACAAGACAAGATAGAGAAGCTGATTCTGTCCTACGAAAAATGTCGTCGGGTGCGTGTCGGATTCTCCAAAAATAGTGTATTTTCGGAGAATCCGATACGGATGCGGCAGTGTTTCGGAGAGTCCGGCAACATAGATTCTGTCTCCAATTTCTTTAGTAGTTACAACTATACCTTATATAGGGAAACATAACTGAAAAGGGTATGCCATAGATTACACAAAGCAGACTATAAACATCTGGAAAATTAGGAAGTGACCTCATCAAGCTATTGGTTAATTCTATTTTGCATAGCTAAAATACATTGAAGAAAGCTAAAAAGTAGAAGAAAGTTACACTAAAGAAAAAGTAGAGTAATTTTCACGGGTGGTCATTCAACTTTGCGTTCATTACGCAAAAGTCATTTTTCTTCTTTTTGTTTCGTAAAAATCATTCAACTTCATGTTCATAACTCAAAAGTCACTTTTCTTTCTTTTGTTACACAAAAATTATTTTACTTTGCTCTACTTATCACAAAAGTCATATTGGCCAGATTTTATAATATTTTTACTTGAAAAGTCTATTTTGCCCTTGACATTATAAATCTTCTCATTTATGTAACACCTTCTATATTATATACTACATAATATATATTTTTACCTAGCTATTTTACTTATTATTAAAATAACTTTATATTATTGTATTTATTATTTATATAAAATATTCATACATTTGTAAAATCTGATCAAACTGACTATTGTGATAACTAGAGCATAGTAAAATGATATTTGTGTAACAAAAGAAAGAAAAATGACTTTTGGGTAATGAACAAGAAATTGAATGATTTTTAGGTAGCAAAAGAAAGAAAAATGACTTTTGGGTAATGAACACGAAATTGAATGATTTTTAGGTAGCAAAAGAAAGAAAAATGACTTTGGGTAATAAAGACAAAGTTGAATGGCCACCATGAAGAAAAATAGGAAGAACTATTTTCAAAATTCTTAACGAAATTAAGCAAAAGAAATAAAAATCATAAAGTAAACTTTGGACCATCAATTGCAAAATGGATTATTTGGAACTGTACCTTTTCAGCTTCTTGATTTTCTTCATCAATTTCTTTATCTTTCTCCTCACTGCTTGCTTTCTCATCCTCTAAACATCCATCACAGTCAAACCCAGTATTCGTCTCGCTATCTTTAACACCACAGCTAGCATTTCCTGAATTCCCGTCGCCGGAATCTTCGCCGGGGACGATCAAAGGCAGCACCTTTTCGTTCTCCGGCAAAGCAATCTTCTTGCCAAACAGCTTAATCTCTGGATCCTTCGATTCCCTCATATTTTCCAATGAAAATATATTAAAAAATTAGAGTTTTTTCTAGTAGTATTTGAGTAGTAGTCGGAGAATCAAAGATCGAAGAATCGGAGTTTCCAGTAAAACAATAAAAGAAGAAACTTAAAGGGTCCTTCCGTAATAGTGGTGAATTTTTGTAGCCGGGAAAGTTGCCGCCGGCAGGCTGTCGGCAAATCAAGATCGGAGATACTATGTGTAAAGTGAACGTTTTGAGAACCGAGAACTGTGAAAAGGTTTAAGGCCTTGTTGGCATGGTTGAGGACTGTGATTTTGATCAGGGGTTTAAACAAAATGACAGCGTGGGGGGGTGTTAGGATGCCACGTCATCACATAATTATTTTATCAGCCACAAATTTTATATAGTGACCTTTTATGAAAGTAATACAATCTTTCTTTAGATTCGGATAGTTGCACGAAAGTTGGGTTCACCCTTTGGTCAAAGGACTCTGTTTGAAACCCACTATTGATGATGTGGAAGGATATTATTGGCTACGGGATGGATAAGTTTGTACTTTTGGTGAGAAGTTTCATGCTGAGAAGAACTTGCAGCTGTGGAACTCATCATCAGCTAATAGAAGGGAGAAATTAGAAATTGAACTTTTGTCAGAACCAATGGGATTTTTTTCATTCTTCTGTCAAATTCTGGAAAGTGGCCCGATTCAATCGATATTGATTTTTTCAATTGCGGATAAACAACTTAACCTTTGGTCATTAATTTTTGGAGACGAATTACATATTCATATTCACAATAAAAGAATTAGTGAGACTCCTTATACGTACTTCATGGCTGATAGGCCTACAGACGCTTGACGCCTTTCTTTTGATATCCCCAACCTTTGATCATAGGGATCAATTTCTAGTCGCATAGCTTCATAATAATTCTACAAAGTTTCCGCGTAATTTCCTTCGAATTGAGCCGACATCCGTTACGATTGTCATTCAATTGAAAGAATCTCCGTTCTAGAACCGTAAAAGAGATTTTCACCTCATACGACTCCTCCCTTATGTGCAAAAGAAGGGTAAACTGAATCATACCACTTTATTAGATGACTATATATAGAAGGGTATAAGTTAGAGTATTATTATTGGACCAATGAATTTCTTTGATGATATTTGTGCTTTAGCTTGAAAAAATTTCAATTTTTATAGCAATATATATTTTAACCAATCGTATGAACGTTAGGTACATACGTTGAAATATTATTTTTTCTCAGCTTTGTATATAGTTGAGTCAATGAATTTACATCACTATAAAATGATTCTACATTACACTTAAATAAGAAATGACACGTGCTGCTATTTTTTTTAAAACTCAAACTAAGAAAAAAGGACCTCTTCTTTCTCTTACCTTATATATACGTAACTAATCATTTCAATTTTCAGGTAAATAGTTTGACTTAAATCATTTGCAACTCAAAAATCAGTTTTTGCCCCGCATAAAAATAAGTGTCAATTTTTGTTTCTCTCTGTCCATTTTAAAATCAAAGTCATTATATACTTATCCATATCTATTCGGGGAAAACCCCAATTGCTATCTATTATATAAAGTTAGATTAGATTATTTTCTGATAACGGCATCAAAAACTTGTTAGTTCTTAAAGCACACATAAAATATACATAGTTCACAAGTAGTAAAGTGACTCGAAGGTTGTCGAACCTACAGAGACTTATATTAGGTGCTACCTAAGCAAATAAAAATTTATTATCTGTGTACTATTACCAAAGAGCAATGTCTGTGACTAAACTAATATTGCAGAATTTATACAACTACTTAGCTAAACTAGCAAGAACGCACGTGTCTATGATTTTGTCTTAACCAATTGAGATGATGATTCTAGGGTTGTGGTCAGGTTATCAATCCTATTGAGTCGTAATTACACCCGTCATTACCATATGAGCCTATAGGATCCTTCAAAACACCATTCAGGGGTCATCTACACAAAAATCAAATTCCGGTAAACTCTTAAAACTTAAGCATCCAACCTTGAGATTAAGAGTCTCAATTATATCCAAAACTCCCCCGAAACAAAACTAACCAACCCCGCAAGTAACATAATGATAAATACATATATGTAAAGAAACAAGTAGGGGAGAAAGGGCTAAATACACAAAATGACCAACCGGGTTGTTACATTCTTCCGCTCTTAAATAAATATTTGCCCTTGAACGAGCCTAGAATCATACCCGGGGTCTCAAAAAGTTGAGGATATCTGCTCCACATCTCCTGATCGGTTTCCCAAGTATCCTCCTTGATCAGCTGACCTCTCCAATGAACCTTCACCGATGCTATATTCTTCGACCTCAACTTTCGAACCTGCCAGTCCAAAATGGCCACCGACTCCACATCATAAGTCAAATCTTCGTCCAACTGCACCTTGCTGAAGTCTAATACATGTGACGGATCCCCATAATACTTCTGGAGCATCAAAACATGAAACACTGGGTTAACACTCGATAAACTGGGTGGCAAGACAAGTCTGTAGGCCACCTCTCCAACTCTCTCTAGCACCTCAAAAGGACCAACATACCTAGGGCTCTACTTGCCTTTCTTCCCGGACCTCATCATACCCCTCATAGGTGAAACTCTTAGTAGAACCTTCTCACCCACCATGTATGCCACATCACGAACCTTCCTATTTGCATAACTTTTCTGCCTAAACTACGCTGTGTGAAGCCGTTCCTGAATCAACTTCACCTTCTCCAAAGAATCACAGACCAAATCAGTGCCCAACAACCTAGCCTCCCAGGCTCAAACCAGCCAACCGGAGAATGACAACGTCTGCCATATAAGGCCTCATACGGAGCTATCTAGATACTTGGATGATAGCTTTTTTTGTAGGAAAACTCTGCTAATGGTAGGAACTGATCCTATGATCCCCTGAAATCAATGCACATGCTCATAACATGTCCTCTGATACTAAATAGTACGCTCGGACTGTCAGTTTGTCTGGGGATGAAATGCCGTGCTCAGCTCAACCTGTATGCCTAACTCCTGTTGCATTGCCCTCCAAAAATGCAATATAAACTGCATGCCTCGATCCGAGATAATAGACACGGGCACATCATGAAGTAGAGCAATCTCACAAAGATAAATGCGAGCTAGCTGTTTTGAAGAGTAGGTAGTCATGATTGGAATGAAGTGTGCAGACTTGGTCAGTCTGTCCACAATAACCTACACAACATCAAATCTCCTCAAGGTCCGTGGAAGCCTAACTACAAAACTCATAGTGATACGCTCCTACTTCCACTCCGGAATATGTAGCTTCTGAAGCAAACCACTCTGTCTCTGATGCTCGTACTTCACATGCTGACAGTTCAAACATCGAGCAACATACTTAATAAAATCCTCTTCATCCTCTGCCACCAATAGTGCTGCCTCAAGTCCTGGTACATCTTCGCGGCAGCCGGATGAATGGAATACTATAAACTATGGACCTCCTCAAGTATCAACTCTCGTAACCGATCCACATTAAGCATATAAATATGGACTTGAAGCCTCAATACCCCATCACCATCAATAGTACCTCCTTAGCATCACCGTACTGCAGCATTTCCCTTAGGATAAGTAAATGGAGATCATCATACTTACGTGCCTTGATGCGCTCAAACAAAGACGACGGTGATACAACAAATGGAAGAACCCTACTAGGCTCCAAAATATCCATCCTCACAAACCTGTTGGCCAAAGCCTAAATATCCAAAGCTAACAGTCTCTCCCCAACTGGAATAAAAGTAAGACTCCCCATGCTCTCAGCCTTTCTACCCAATTGTTGCTCCCAAATGCACACGCAAGTATACGTGGTCGTACAAGTAATAAAATGATAAGTCAAGTATCGAACCCACAGAGACTTGTATCAACTATCCACTAAAATCATCAAGATTGTTATTCAGTCAAGCCAAAATCAAGTTCAAGAATGTGATTACACTAAACTATAATTCTAATTTATAACTAAATTATCAAGCAGTAAATGATTGTTATGTATTCAATAGAGACAAATATTCCATGGTTGTGATCGATTCACCAATCCTATTGTGTTCTAGTTACCTCTCCCTTTCATACAATTCACTCATGGTCGCTTATTAATCGATAATTGCTCTCATAGCCTTCTCCTAAAGTTCTACTCGCCTATTCAAAATAGATTAACGCCTATATTCCTATGAAATCAATCTATTAAAATCACATTAAGATTACGATAGTGAATTAAGCACAGTGACTAGGTATATTCCTATCCTAACAACAAATCCGCCCCCTAATAGTTAAGATCGTGCTCTCTTCAATTCGTCTCTAATCTAAGCACGGCTTTCCCAAGCATAGCATAGATAGTAAATAGAACCTAACTGCTGGCCATACAATTAAGCAATTAATCACAGAATTGAAGAAACAACCATATAGTAGTGAATTATAATCAAGGTTAAGTCAACGTTAAACGACAAAATTCATGGCTAAATCACAACCCCAGAACAATGGGTTTTTAGCCACTCATGTTAATAGCAAACAATTTCATAAGTGTTGAATAATTGAAAATACTATAAAAAGATGAAGAAAACTGAGATCTCTCCGCTTCCGAATGTTTCTCGTGTGTATTTTTCCTTAAAAGTGGCATCACACCCTTCACAAATAAGTTTAGTCTTGCTTTTATACGTGTTGGGTAGGTCTAGGGCCGAAATAACCGTGTCCCGGGCACATTTGGAGAAAACTCACGCCATTGGCGCCCTGCTCAGCGCCAGGCGCCCTCCATGGTGCTGCCAATTTAAGGCTTCTATTTCTGGCGCCACAGGTAGCGGTAGGCACTGCCTGTGGCGCTGCAATTTCCATTTTACATGCTTTCGTCCTTTTTGGCTCTAATTTTGCATATTTCGCCCCCAATTGCTCTCGGATCATTCCTACACATACAAATACCTCAAATTAATATAAATCAATACATTTCACATCCTAAATCCACGAAATAAAAGTAAAATATGAGGCGATATACACACATATATATATACTTTAAGCTAAACATCAACACCCCACACTTAGACTCTTGCTCGTTCTTGAGCAATGGGACTATCAAATAAACCCCAACTACGTACAAGTCTCAACTATAGAGGAGCAATTCAACTTTTAACCATACTCTCTACCCTTGACTATGATCAGTACCGGCACACAAGCATGAACATACAAAATTTCACATTCTTCCCGTTTAAGCATGCCCAAGTATAACTTTTCAATTCAATCAATTCCAACAACCTATTTGTCACCACCCAACCTCAAAAGCCGACTTGTAATCACTAAGCACCCTCAATTCACGCACTCTCCCAACAAAAAAGT